CATACGTTTGAACGTTCACGGTACACGTATCCATACGTTTGAACGTTCACGATACGCGTATCGATACGTTTGAACGTTCACAATACACCTATCGGTACTTAGATTGAATAAAACCCATATCGTTTAGTAGCGTAGCCATATCCAAACATAAAAGACACAACACAATTTGCAGTTCAATAGCAGTTGCTTACCACAGTACCAAGTACTCCACGATACTCATTTGTAAGCATTCACACGATTGGTAAAGTCCCGCTATCTGATACCATTTCATGCCAAGATTGGATTCAATCTAATCCAAGAAATTTTTAATACAGTAATATCAGGAGTGTATCAACTCCTGGTAATATAACATAGCAAGCTCCATTCATCACGCTGCATTTTTACTTTAAAAGTTTTTTTTCTCTTTTACGGTAGCGGTGAGAGTGTTCAAGGTGCCGAGCTGGCTTGAGCAGGTGCTCCTGGCTGGTAGGGTCGTCTGTAAGCTCTCAATGGAGTCCTGGTTCGACTGGTACCTAGACCAGAAGCTGAGGCATGCACTGGGAGAGCATCACATTGTAGCTCTGATTGAACTGCTGAGAGGTGCGAAATTTATTCGATTTTATTATCGTTTGTTTCATGTCTACGTATTTTCTGAATTCATCATCTCATCATTTCCACAAGAATGCTTTTGAATGGAAAACGAAAAGATGCCATTTACTTTTTTTAGTTCATCATTTAATTATTTATATGAAAAACTTTGTAATCATATGTCATAATGCTGTACTGTATTCTTATATAATTTGTAAAATAAAAATGATATGGAAAATGGATGGTAGTTGGTAGGCATCCTTTGCTGATTTATGATCATTGCTTTATCATTGTGTTTTCAGATGCAATTTTTTTCGACGATTCTCCTCCAAGGTAATTGATTATATTATATTATATTCTACCTTTAACAGCCCTAGAGAAAAGATATCGGCAACAAAAAATGCGTATTTTCTGTTAAAGCTTGCATAGATGGGTGGTGGCCCAGTGTTATAATAGTGAACGAAAGTGAAAATCACAAGTCTTCGATGTGGCCCACTGTTATAATAGACCATAATGCATTGCGGTCTGAGTAAGCTAAGCGGTATATGTTTATGTAAGCTTACTCGGACCGCAATGCATTATGGTCTATTATAACAGTGGGCCACGTCCAAGACTTGTGATTTCCATTTTCGTTCACTATTATAACACTGGGCCACCATACCCTAGAGAACACGAAAAGTTAGCGGCAACATAAAATACAAACGTGCATAATTTCTGTTAAAGCTTGCATAGTCATATATTTGCAGTGTGTATCTATTATATGAATTTCTGTGATTGCCGCACCTTAGTTCTGTTTGTATAGGATTCTACTTTACATACATTAATGTTGTATTTCTGATTGTGGTGGAACGTGAATAGATGAATGGTTTATGTAGAGACTTGTGAAAAGTCAGTTCATGTTAAATATTTATCTTTAGAACTGAAGTGCAGAAAACGGAACGAGCTCAGGAGACATTAAAAGAAACAGAGGCATTCTTACCAGGTATATTTAAAGAAAGTTTACAAAGCCAAACAATATATCATTGTAATATATGAAACATTTTTTCACAACAGATGTATTATTCGCGTTAGATGATACCTGTTCATTGAAAGACACTTGAGTTACTGGCCATCACGTGATGTGAATTTACATGATATTTACTGTGAATAATTGATGTATTGTTCCTTGGAACTTAATACTCATGTTGTAAAATGTCAATAGTGACATTGTATATTACAGTGATATCCTTTACTTTGCAGGTTTATTGGTGAAGTTAGTTGGAGAGAAGAGTAATGCAAACGCAGCGCAAATCATCGTTGATTGTGTGCAGCATCCAAAACTCAATAAACAGGTAAGCCCATTAACTGCATTGATTAGAATGAGTTGACATTGAGTTTTAAAGTGATTACGTCACCGTAAATAGTAAAAAAAAAAATATATTTCTACTTTTTCACAAAATATAAGTAATTCTGTTTACATTTTATGATGGTTAAATGCTGCATAATACTTCTATTTTACCAATACATTGTTCGATGTGAAATACACTCATTACTCATACCATAGCCCATTGCAAGCAATTAATGTTGAGCAACATTAATCTCAAATCGTCCGGCAGGTTTTTTGGATTTTTAACTAGTTGAGAAACAATCTTATCAGGTACGATTTGACGATACGTTTAGTGCGCCGTTAGTTTTATTTTTAATGTAACAATTGAATTTTTTATCCAAATTTTTGACCATAGAAAAATTCGTGACCGTAGTCCCTTTAGCTGTGTAGCGTAGTACCCTGTTATTATACGTTCTACGGGGGACAATAAAATATCTCCTAACCATTCAGTAACATCTTATGGGGAGAAAATCTTATCTCGTTGGGGATGTACTTACAGCCAAGTCATGATCAAGGATTCATGAGATAGCATTTGCATACAAATCAGTACTATCAGTATGATGATGTCACTCGATGATTGCTGTCATATACTTTAGGTCATATACTTTAGGTCATATACTTAGGTCATATACTTTAGGTCATATACTTTAGGTCATATGCTTTAGGTCCTATACTCACCAGTCTTACGCAGTGCAACTTCTGATCATGCATTCACCGTGCTTGTAGCCCGTATTAGTTTGTACTGTTCCGTCACATTTTTTCTCCATCACATTAGTCTCTCTCTCTCTCTCTCTCTTTCGCTCTCTCTTTCTTTCTTTCTTTCTCTCTCTTTCTCTCTCGCTTCCACCTGCACTCTCTCTCTCTCTCGTCTCTCTCTTTCTCTCTCTCTCTCTTTCTCTCTCTCTCCTTCTCTGCTCTCTTCCTCGCTCTCTCCTCTCTCTCTCTCTCTCTCTGTCTCTCTCTCTCTCTCTCGTCTCTCTCTCTCTCCTCTCTCCTCTCTCTCTCTCTCTCCTCTCTCTCTCTTCTCTCTCTCTCTCCTCTGTCTCTCTCTCCTCTCCTCTCTCTCTGCTCTCTCTTCTCTCTCTCCTCCTGTCTCGTCTTCTCTCGTCTCTCTCTCTCATCTCTCTGCTCTCTTCTCTCCTCTCTCTCTCCTCTCTCTTCTCTCTCTCCTCCTGTCTCGTCTTCTCTCGTC